AACAAAATAACTAAAGTTAATTACTAAACTAAACTAAATTAAACTAAACACTAAAAAATAAACCATAAATAAATAAAACAATTTATAAACTAAATAAGAAAATGAACACAAACTAATTACCAATAAATAACTAAATATTTAGATTTTTATTTTAACACATTTACAATACACTTAAATACAAATGAAATATTTTTGTAGATTAAAAACTAATTTATAATAAAAATAAATAAAATAAAAAATAAATATATATATTATATAGTAAAATATATATAAATAATAGTTATCTTTCTAAAAATGCACCATAAAACTATGTCAGCCAGAAGTCAGTAATTTCCTTAACTTTATGCAAATGATCAGCAACTACCAACGAAAGTGCAGACTGTGAGACACTAATGACACCTATTTAGGCTATTTAATCGCTGTCAGTGTGAACGCACTTTTCACGGAGAAAAATGAGGTCTTGGCCTTTCACACTGACACAAGTGACTACACAACAGAAACGCTCACAATCTCATTACCGAATGAGAAGCAGGTCTCATTTACATGTGAGCATCTCTTCCCTTGAGAGGTCATCATTAGCAGTCTGCAACTCCATTGATTCTACGGCCCGGCCTTGACTTCAATGCTACGTTTAGTGTGTTCACGGACATCACTGCAGTCTCGCTGTCCAGGCAGCTTTCCCATCCACTGACATCAGTAGATGAATGAATTCAGGGTGCAATCTAGTAGCCTTCACCACTGAACAACTACAACCCGACACAAAAGCGGGATCGATTGGGTCCAGTGCTGTGCTGCAGACAAGAGGCCCTCCTCTCACATACCATTTCACTTATGCTGCATCCTGGGCTGCCTGAAGCTATACTCACTATTCCAGCATGGCACATTCTGAATAAATGAAAAGCATCGGCGTAATCTGGTGCTGATCTACCTTCGCACTGGAAGTTCAGGCAATGGACTTCACTCTGGAGATGATCTGGAGATGATCTGGATCTTCTCAAAAAACCTGTATTCCACATGGCTCAGCTCTGTGTGGGACACAGGCGTTCAGATGGAGGTCATGTTTTCAGGAAACAGTTTAAAGAAAAAAAAATCCTTTAGACGGTCCACGATTTTGGGAAACACACTTCTTTGAGCTGTCATTTCACTTCTAAACC